TGTATTTTTTGGAGACATGACCATTACCTAAGGGAATTGATGTAATGTCCCAGCAAAGGAAGAATAGACTCATGTCTCTTTCTGCCTTCCCTTATACCCTCACTTCCAAGTCAGCTGTCTTGTCCAGGGTTTAAATTAGGGTAGAACTTGGCTCAGGACCTTCATTCACTCATGTTTAAATCTTCTGCGTTAGTCATGTTTCTTCTCCAAGAATAACTTCTATCTGTCAAATACATTTTCAGTGTAACTCCACTGAAGACAATGAAGTTATCAGGAATTAATTTTGTATATGAACTGAGATTATCAACCACATAATTAATCTGAGTCTCTTACGCAGATCTGAAAATCTCAGTCCATATCTTTTTGAACTTTTTTTTTTATTTTGGTGGTGGTGGTGTTTTGTGTCTTGCTTTAGATTTTTATTTAGATTTAGTAACATATAAATGCACTGGTTAAATTTACAATCTGCCTGCATACATATCTTCATGATTTTGTTATTGTTCCATCTAATTCAAGCTGAGATTTTGGGGGAAGAATGGAAGCAAGGTTTTATTTGAAAAACATCCCCCTTCCCCAAAAGCTACAGAGTTCAAAGTTATTCTAAGAAAAATAACAGTTCTCCACAGTGAAATAACTGTACAATGACTCTTATATGCCATGAGAATTTTCAGCTATAAAAATTGTCTGAAAGTAGTCCCATTATTTAACTTATCAACAAGTCCTTTCCTGGTGCTATGATGATGTGTCATCAGTAAACCACACTTGGCAGGAGACACCAGAGTGGTTAAAACCAGAGGTCATAATGATCAAAAGGCACTTTCACAAACCAAGTATTTCATTTTTTTTACAATGTAGATTTTTGCAAGAGAATTCATCCCCCATTCACCCTCTTAGAGGCTCCTTGTGCATTGAAATTTCAGTCCCCACAGCTGTCTTCTTCAACAGCCCTGTGTCCAGCTTTGGGAAGTAATGGCTTTGTTTAAAACCACTACCATGAGAATTTAACTGACTTCTGAAAATGCAAGTCTTTTTGGGAGGGGTGATTGGCAAAGAACATATAATACAGAGTCCTTTTCTGATCCTGATACATGATGGATGTAAATGTGCAGTTGTTACTTCTGGCTCTGCATCCATGGGCCTTTGTTTGACCCAGTTTTGACAGCATCTCCAGCAATTCACTTAGGTGGGATTGTAAGTGGTGAGTCAGACATTGAGAGCAAGATTTCTCTGCCTTC